GTTAGTTACATTATTTTTTAGTGAATTTGGTTGCCATTTTTAATTTATTCTATCGTGCAAATTTTATTATAAAAGTCTTTACAAGTGAATATAATACAATTATGTACACTTGTTTACTATTATAATATGTAATAATGTAATATAATTATATTATATTTTAATTGTAAGAGCGTTAGCAATATAATGTCATACAAAAACAGATGATAAACAAGCAAATATCAGAGTGTATAAATATTTCTACACTTATTATGTAACAATTAATTGTCAAGTGTTTTGATCTTCGTATTGGCGTTCTTCGTCTTTTGTAATATATCGAAGAGCTTTGTATTGAGCCAATTGTGTTTTTTTGTTTCCTTTCTATACATTATCCAATACTATATGTTGTCGCAATATACGATTATGTAACTAATAATCAGTTCGTATTGCTAATCGTTATAGTTTACATCAGAGAAGTTTGAACGTACGTACGAAGTCATGGGTGGTGCAACGAAGATGACGTACGAATATTACGGAATTGACAAGTATCTATATGCTTTTGGGCTTAGCGTAAACCCCGTTTATCGAGGGTACGGATTAGGCAAGGATATTCTGAAAACCAGGTATGACTTACGTGTTAAGAAATTAGTTCGCACGTAAAGAATACATGAAATTATTGATTCTTTGCTTTATAGTTCAAAATTCTTTAAAAAATTTTTTTCATAGCAAAGTAGAAATATTTTATTTTTTGAATAATAAATCTTATATCCGAATAATGTAGATAATCTGTCATTCTTGAGCTTTCTTAACATCTGAGAATTATTGATAATTATTTATATGTTTATAAGAATATAGAATTTGACAAATTCTATATAGATCAAATTTTAATTTATTTTATCAACAAATCTCATTTTATCTTATTAATAAATTACCGTAACATTATTGATACAAGAACCACTTTTAACTTTTTTTACTTTATTTCGATTAATTTAATATCTAATACGTTAATCAATTAATCAACATTTCATATGTAATTTATAACAAATCTCGATGTAGGGATCTTCTCGGACCTAAGTACGGAATACCAGTGACATCCACTGTGTTTACGTCGATAATTTCGCAGAAGATAGCGGCGGATGTGGGATTTGAAGAACTCTTTACGAAAAAATACGCCGATTTCGTGGACGAAAATGGAAAGGAATATTTCCCCGGTATTAAGTCCAAAGAGCTTAAAGTCATGGCTAAAAAATTTCTCTAATAAGGTCTAATGGACATGGTGGTACTCAAGAATTGCGAGATTCACTTGATTTTGTAACTTGGAGTAAGTTTTACACTTTCGTACGTTACTGTCGAAAATTGCTTAATATTCCTCAACGTTAAAATAATTACTGTGATTGGAATGAATAACAACAGAGGCTACATTATTATTGGCTTTCTATAGAAACGTAAGCAGATGTAATTTTCGTTCCGAACATGCATCGACGGTGTAGATATGCACTCGAAATATATACGTATTAAAAATGATTAACCTTTCAAATCATAATTCGCGGAACATTTAAATAGATTATAATCTATTTTCCGAAAAAATCTTTTTAAGAATAAGCTTTTATAAAGCTTTTAAGTTGATTTGTTCTTTCTTTAATTACCTTTAACAAAATAAAACAATTGCAAATAAATGCGGAAGAATTATTATTTTGTATTGGTAAGAAATTATGTTCACCCCAAGGTGTTGCTCCATCGGGACTCGATGCCTATCCTTCTGCTCCTCTTACAGTTAGACTGTTCTCTCGGATTGTCAGCTTTATTGGATTCCCACTTCTGAGAATCCGACTCTTTCGCGTTGTTATTTTCTAAAGCATTTAAATAAATAATTAGATTAAATTGAAATAAGTAACATTTTTTATATAACAAATTTTTTATATAACATTATATATATATATATATATATATATATAAATTATACTCACCACTTTTTTCAGATTGTCAATTCTGTAGGACTCAAATATAACACACGAGAAAACACGAGTAAAAGAGCCGTTGAACGATTCGTTGCAACGCTGCTATGTAACTACGATGATAATATACAAACATAAAATTCCAATTAAAAATGCCAATTTAAAATGACATTTACATGACGTTTAACATTTCAAACGATAA